CTACCTCTCACTGCCCTACCTCTAGTTAGGGCCCCATCCTAAACTCGTTTTTTCCGTGGGATTAGTGCTTTTGTGGGTGAGCCAGAAATAGTTGTTTCTATTAGCAGAAATCAGACAAATTAGTGATACACGTACTGCCGCACTGGTTGCTCGACGTAAAACACCAATGACATACCAAGGTGGAAGACACCATGACATACATTACCGCGGTATAGGTGACGTTACATGCCTTGTTTTTTGATAAGCGATATCTCCGTTAAAATTAGACATAAAAACCTGGCGTTTGAACGGATCTGATTATATTTTGCTAATTCATAAGCTGAAACTATTAAAACACGATTTTGTGACCGTAGCGCAACTGACCCATTGTCAGAATGATACGCACAAGGTAAGGTACGAGCTGAACCCTACCAAAAACGTCCATGTCGCGTCAGTGAGTGGAACATGGTATCTTGTATGTTGGTAACAACGTGCTCATGACATTGTACCATGTATCAGCATGATCTTGTTTAGAAGGGTTGCACTATCTTGCATGCAGTATGTAATACCCAAAGGAAAAGGGTGATTAATAAGTTTTATGTTGTACGTAGATTTATTACAAATCAAGGAAGCCGGGAAAACTATAGAGCTGGCACCGAAGTCGCCAGGAGGAGTTGAGAATGATTTATTTGAAGCCAACATTTGTAAAAAAAACACAAATTTCAGATTTTCGATTAGATAACTATTGTTACACGGCGGTTGCTTTTTGGCCTACGCCACAAGTTGAAGGCACGATTAACAGTGAAGTGTGTCACTCCCATACAAGAAAAGAAGGGTAGAGGGCCAAGGTTGGAGGGGTGAGCGAGCCTTTCATATGATTCCCCCCATAGATCGAGTCGGTCTATCATTTCAGCCATTAATAATTTGTGGCCCAAGTCGGCGTAATTCTAATGGAATGATTTGTGCAGAGACAAGAGACCCTCCACTGGTATCTTGCCAATGGTAGAAGCTCTTTACTTCCGGGATTCCAACGTGGCTATGGCTTATCAATGGCTATATCAATGGTCTATTGCTTTGTCTATAGCTTTGTCTATAGCTTGGTCAATAGCTTTATCTACAGCTTTGTCTATGGTTTTGTCTATAGCTTTGACCCTAAATTTCAAAAATTGGTCCGCAGTGGAGGGTCTCTTGTCTCCGGCTGTATCTTATATACTCTTCCTTTCGTTCAAATTTCAGTTGGAATCTCACGCTTCTGGAGAGCATGAACGAAATCGACGACGGTAGTAAGGGGAGCACGGAGTCCTCGTGGCCGTTCCACACGCGCCCCAGTTGGTACTCGACGAACCAGCCCTTCGTGACGCGGCCCCGCCCCTCGTCCGGGGTCCGCCCCAAGCCGTCGCGGCCGCACCAATCGACGGCCTCGAGCAGCGCGGCCACACCCACGAGCACCGCCTCCTCGCCCGCCTCCAGCTACTCCTCGCCCGCGTCGCCCTTCGCGGCCACGTCAACGATGACGTCACCCATCTCCAGCTCCACGACGCAGGTGCCCAACGTCGTCGTCTTCTCCTCGCTGCCCCTCGTCGTCAGCTCCAGCTCCGGGGACAAGAAGAAGCCGCAGAACGGATACCCTAGCTCCACCTCTTCTGGACCGGTTTCTGCCATCGGACACACAGGCACAAGTAAGGCATTCAATTTTTTTGTACGATTATTAATGGAAACGAAAATAAATTTGAACCGTAAATTGAGGAACGGACATTCGCGGCCTGCGGACTGATAGTTGGAATTGGTAGACAAAGCTATAAAGTGATAATACAATAGGTAAATGGAGGGATCCTATAGGTGGAAGCGGGTGGTTGCGCCTACAGCCATATAGGCGCTAATATGCGTTTCGCGCCAACTGCACTGTTTGATGCAATGCGTGAAGTATTCCCGAAGTCTTGCAGGCGCTAATATGCGTTGAGCAACCGAACATTATATAGCTGAGCATGGAGTCCAATATCATGGACGCGATGCTACATTACCGTTTAGCCGGCTCGGCAGACCGTACTGTGCGCGCAATGCGTGCAGTATTCTCGAAGTTTTGCAGGCACTGATATGCGTTCAACGCCAGCCGCACTGCGTTAGGCGCGATTATTGGAACTCGCGTTAGAATAATCGCGGCGTCGAATTATGGGGCTTAAAAGGCATATATTGCGTTTCGACGCTGTATAAGCATTCCGACGTTGCCGCGTATCTTCCGATAAAATATTTTTTCCGAGAAAAGTTAGGAGAGTTTTTTATGTTCGCTTTTTTAGATTGAATGGACCATCAAACAAGGTACGAATTGAAGCATTCTGATACACGTTTCGTAACCAGAATTTCACGTAGAACATGATTTTGGCATACAAAATTACTAAAATTTACTCCTAACTAACATACTAACGTTTTAATTTTACATCGGTTACGGGAAATTAGAATCGTCCGGTCACAAGAAACACAATACTCTACGTGAATCAAATCGCGCTCAAATCAATACGACGATTTTGGCAGGCTTCTCGAGCAAATATTCTTCATTTTCCATCCTTAAATTGTTCAAAGTGTAAACAATTTGCTAAACCTGAGCCAAAGCGTCAAGATTGAGATTGCCATATTTTTTTTTTTTTATCTCAAAGACTGCACGGTAAAGTTTAGTTTGCGATCTAAAGTACGTAGACCATTATGTTTTCATGAGCGGGAGGTTTGAAATTGCACGTCAAGAAACATTAAATATCTTGGCTAGGAGTCAATTTCAGTTATTTTCGTTACACGAATACGTTAAATTTACGTTAAATTTGCGTTAAATTTTGGTTAAGAAACTTGTATCAGAATGCTTAACTTCGAACCTTCTCTAGTGGTCCATTTTGCACTGGAAATCAGTGATTTTTCCTGAGAGCCGCAACACTGGATGTTTGGCGGAATACAGGTTAGCGTCAATCGGTCACTTGGTCAGTGGTCGTGTCAGAATTTTGGGCAATTATTGCGACCACGCAACCATTTCTTCCCAGTGAG